ATGTTATGTTTGGTAATAAACCAAATCACCCCATCTATATTTCTTCAAACGATTGAAAGTATTATGGTAAAAAAAAAAAGGGTGTTCTTGAGGACCAAGAAAGATGCCCCTTTTTATTAAAACAATAAACAAGAAAGAAGCCCTAATAATCTCTATAAAAAGAGGTCAAGGAAGATATAATATTTATCCTTTTAAAGGTCATCCCATTGGAGTTATGGGAAGGGATGTCCAAAAAAGAGATAGGTCTCCAAAAAAAAGAAACATGATCTCCTAAAAAGAGGCAGATTTCTCATAGACTTTTGGGTTGCTTAAACTTTTACTTTTAGAGAAAAAGTTTTTTAATTGCTTTCAAGGTTATCTTTCCAGTAGCGTGCATCGTTAAGAAATATGTGGTTGATTGACGATGTCGCTTGATTAGGAAAGCAAATTTAGAAGGGAAGATCGGTGAGGTTTTTTGCTAATGTTTAAAGAGAGGTATATAGCTTGTAACTCAAAGTTGTAATCTTCATTGTGATAATGGATTTTTACTTGTCAAGGTTGTAGATGCAGTGCTACAGGGTGAACCACATAAGTAGTGTATCGTTGTGGTGTGCATTATGTATTTTTTTTATTTCTCACATATCTTTTATTGTGTATTCACCTATTTCACATGTAACCAACTATGTACAAAATCTTGGATAGGACAGTATTTGGACCTCCTAATTCTACCAGTAAAGGAGTTCCTGAGGACCCTACAGTACAAGTGTTTGTTGATTTGAAATTTTGGCAAAGATATTTGAATAACGAAATGAATAATTTGAGAAAAATAGAAAGACATTAGTTATAAAAACCAAAATGCGATATTCCAAAAATTGGACTATCTAGGCTCACTTTTGGGACTAGATATTTTATTCTATTTGAGTGTCTGATCTCAATTTCTTTGTTCCTTTATTTTGGTGGTAAGGGAGAGTAGATAACAAACTTGAAATTTTAGGTTCAAAAAATGTTCATGAACTGCCCAAGGGAGCAAACGAGACCGTTTTTAGAGGGTGATCTCAACCGTCTATTAAATTGTGAAAAGACATGTTGCTCCTACTAGAGCACACTGTCCATTTGCTCCCTCAAGCAAAACTCAAGGAAAACTGCTCTAGACCCAAATTTGGGAACGTGCCCCTTGAACCCATTGGCCAACCTCAAAAATGAAAAAACAAAAAAAATCCGTAAAATGCATGCTCTAAGAGCCTAAATATTTTAAAAAAAAAAAATACAAAAAAGATTTATCCCCAAGATTTAACAAGGACGGTCCAATTTTTGGAGGGCAAGATCTAGACATTCAAAAACTCAGAATCCAGTTCTTTTTTTTCCTGAAAATGATTATCTAGTGATACTTAGATACCAAAATTAAAATCTTCCCAAGTGGCTCTTTTAGCCCATAGAGTTCTTGTACAATATGCTCAAATGAGGAGCATGCTATATTTGCTCTTTTTTATTTAAAAAATTGAGTGTTGGAACTAACAGAGAATATATGTAACTTTTCGGTCTCCAAGAAACCCCTGTACATTGTAAACTGTAGGGACTATATAAGTGGACATTGTACACCTGAGAGCCTATATAATATTTTGCTCATGCTTTTTGCATGAATGGATCTCCAACGTCCATCATTGACAAAGTAAGATGGAGATCGCAAGGAGTACATGAGCACGTCATAATACGACACCTAAAGAAATACTATATAGGAAAGTATTGTATGATCTATGTGATCATAGAGATTTCATGGTCCTAAGTATTATCACTGGCCAATTAACTGATGGATGGTGATGGAGAAAAGGGGGGCCCACAAGAATATGGGGCGACCTAAAGACATACTATATAGGAAAGTCTAGTATGATCTATGTGATTATAGAAACGTTATGGTCCTAAGTATTAACTGATGGATGGTGATGGAGAAGAGGGGGCCCCAGAAGATTATGAGGCGACCCAGTTGTTACTCTCTTTCCATTAACTTCCAATACCTAGGAAAGGGGTTAGATCTTTGTGGTAGCACCCCCATACCTAGTTACCATTTCGTGGTTTCTAAGTCTTGCTAAGACTACCCATTGACACTTTCAAAAAAGCTAACTTACTAATCAATTGAAGAGAAGCTAACTTACTAATCAATTGAAGAGTATAGACTGGATGGCTAGCCCAAATTGCATGAAGGAAACAATCTTGAAGACGTCTTACCGAGTACGGTACACATTGTTTTCTAGCCCAATTTTTTGGTATGAC